TATTGCAAAAATTTATTGAGAGCGACATAATTTACCCCAATAACTAAACTTTTTTATTTATTTAAATTACAATAGACATACGGATCTGTAGAGAACATAGAGATCCGTGTGTGTATGTATGTATATACCTCAGACCTACTTCTGTTCGCCCATCAATCAGCGCCAGACACTCAACATTTTAATTCAAGTAGGAAGTAACAATATTTAAATTTAAAACTAATTCAATAATCAAATGAATAGAATTATAATCATAGAATAATTGCCATGGCGAATGCCTAACGCTGACGAGTTGAAATGATAAGATTAGTAGCCTCATGGCTCTTTGAAATCTACCTTATGAGCGGTAGCGCCGGCGTTTCCAGACGAACCGGCGTCGCCGCCGCCGCCGAATATTTTTGAAGTTGACCACGCCGCCGCCGCAAAGCCTGTCGGCGTAAACCTCTACTCTGAACGGCGTTTGTATTTTATGGGAAGCTGTTTTTCATTTTCAAGGTTTGCGCGCTTCTAACCACTACACCCCAGCGGCCTATATGCGAGACCTATATTCAGATAATTTTTTTGGTTTTTGGTATCGATATTTGGAATATCGAGTCTTTTTATTCCGATATTAATGGGTACCCGATATTTTTAAAGCGATACTTTAAATGAGTACCATATCGATACTTTCGGTTCGATATCGTGTCCCTAGTCATAGCTCACACTTTTCTTTCTCTACCTAGCGCAGTGATCGACATGCCATAGCTTACTGAGCGCTCTGTGACCACCCGCGTGTTTCACCCATATACGAACTGCGGTAGCGGAGCAATGATTTCCACGCACACAGTCTAATTAATTGAAGCGTTTTTATGCAATGGTCGGATACTAGACACACATGTGCTCAGAGAGCGCTCAGCATTCTTTAGGGGTGGCTCACAAGCATGAAACCAAATCGTGGTTTCCTCAACTAAGATTTGGTAACTATGACTAAACCATGTGTTGAAAGAAAGCTTATCTTTATTAGCAGAGCTTAATGACATCCTTTTATGAACCATACGTTAAGTTGAATGGAATTTGTAGAAATATGCTTCAAAAAAAATTTATTAGTATGTACCAAACCCTTCAACTAAATTAACGATTTGGTTCAACCTAGATGAATGTTAGAAGCTTTAATATATTTAGTTATAATTACCAACCTATGGTAATAGTTCCCAATCCTTGGTAACAGTTCCCAAACTTCGGGAACTAAATATCTTTAGTTGTCGAAACTAATCCTTTTTCTCAGTGTGCAGTGGAAATCCACACCAGTCTGTAAAAATACCAGTTCATTTACTAGTATGTGTTAAAGCGGTGGCCTACCAGTTGACAATTTCAAAGAACTTAAGCGTTCAGCGACAACTACTTTTGAATTGCGAAAACCAAACATAAAACGCAACTAATTTCTTTTCTTACAAATGTCGGTTGTGGCGTCGCGCTTCTATTGCTGAGATCGCAGGTTTGAGTCCGCTTGGAGGTGGTTAGGAATTTTTAAAATTAATTCAATGTAATAGTAATAATATAATTATTTCAATTTAAATATAAATATTTGTTTTTGTTATTTTATGGCTTGTGGCCGTTTTTAGTGAAAACTTATTGTGGAAAAGCAACAATAATTTGAAAAAATGGTAGAAGTGATACCTATTTCGGAATTCACCACATTTCCTCATCAGACTTCTTTCAGTAGGATTCGAACCGACGGTCACCACTGACTCAGCCAGTTGCCTACGCACTGTGCTAAGTTTGCCTTGTTAATTCTTGTTGCTTATTTCCACTATTTCACTTTGCTAAGCCAACTACAATCAAGCGCAGCTATTCCGCTGCAATTCACTTGATCATGTGGATGTTGGTTTTTGTTAATACTTCTATTTTTAGAATGTTTAACTTTTAGGTGTGCTCGTCCTTAAGTTATTTTATGGCCTTATAACAATTATATTCAACAATTTTTATGAGCTTGAGGCCGTTTTTAGTGAAAACTTATTGTGGAAAAGCAACAATAATTTGAAAAAATGGTAGAATTGCTTTTCCACAATAAGTTTTCACTAAAACGGCCTCAAGCTCATAAAAATTGTTGAATATAATTGTTATAAGGCCATAAAATAACAAAAACAAATAACTTAAGGACGAGCACACCTAAAAAGTTAAACATTCTAATAATAGAAATATTAACAAAAACCAACAAAACCAACAACCACATGATCAAGTGAATTGCAGCGGAATAGCTGCGCTTGATTGTAGTTGGCTTACCAAAGTGAAATAGTGCAAATAAGCAACAAGAATTAACAATGCAAACTTAGCACAGTGCGTAGGCAACTGGCTGAGTCAGTGGTGATCGTCGGTTCGAATCCTACTGAAAGAAGCCTGATTTTTTCAAATTATTGTTGCTTTTCCACAATAAGTTTTCACTAAAAACGACGTCAAGCTCATAAAAATTGTTGAATTTAAATATAGATAATAAATTTGGAAGTCTAATTTCGTCACAGAAAAAACAGCATATGGGAAGAAATACTTGTGCCATAAAACAATAAATGAATAAAAAAAATATTAAATTTCAAAATTACAATAAAAACATAAAACATTTTTTTTATTAAATTTCAAAATTACAATAAAAACCCTAAATAAAAAATAAATACAAAATAAATAAATATAATAAAAACCGCGTTGAAAAAAGAAATGAATACAATATTTTTTTTTTATTAAATTTCAAAATTAAAATTAAAACCCTAGATAAAGAAATAAATAAATAAATAAAAACTGCGTCAGGGATTGAACCGTGGACCTTAGTACTACCACGCCAGAGCTCTGCTCTGTCGGCCATTGCGACTGATGGAGCGCCGCGAGCAAAAGGGCATACTTATGCCTTTCACGGGGGATGAACTGGCACACGATCTCATCAACTGGTATGATGCTACTAGTATTTCTACTAGTAGGTGCTGATAGCCTGATAATTGGCATCTCGTAGGACATCGCCATGTTAAAAATACCAGTCGCTAACATTGAAAAAGGACGGAATTGTTGGGCTGAAAAGCAAACTGTAGTATTTTAGATCACAACTACATATTTAGTAGCTTTCCCTGCAGGGAAGTTGTGAGACATTTTGGAAACTAAGCGAGAAATATGGTATTTCTCCCAAAGAATGTATGAGAAATGCATAGATATCCCGACGCCAATGGAACATCATCAAGGAAGAAGCTACAAAAAATCGCCTCAGCTCATCGAAAACAGTGGCAAAATTAAAACTTCCCATCGGAAAATTTTATCTGCTGATCACAATATAAAGTGGAAAAACCCGTTAAAAAGACCTCAACATACTTCTTCACATAAAGTTGCCACACTGAAATTTGCAAAAGAGCACATGGGTTGGACTGAATGGTGGCGCAATATTATATTGTCAGATAAAAAAGTTTAACCTAGATGGTCTCGATTGATTTAGTTATTACTAGCATGATCTTCGCCAAAATGACCCACCAAAAATGAGTCGAAATTTTGTAGGCGGATCCATCATGATATGGGGAGCATTTTCTTACCATGGAAAGCTGAAATTATGCTTAACTACGCCGAAAATGGACTCCGAAAAATACATTGAGATGCTGGATGATGTGCTCATCAACTATTTGGAAGAGCACGATGACATAGAATATACTTTCCAACAGGACAATACGTGAATACTTGCGTTTCCAGAAAGTCTAAGGAGTTTTTTCTTCCCGATCGGCGCCATTGCTTGACTGGCTAACTAGAAGCTCGGACTTAAATCCAACTGAAAATGTTTGGGGCATAATGCCAAGGGCTGTTTATGCAAATGGTCGCCAGTATTTAACGGTACAAGAGCTAAAAACATCCATTTTGCAAGCATGGCTGGATCTGGACAAAAATACTCTACGGAAATTAGTTGAGTCGATGCCAAATAGAATGTTCCAGACAATTAATAAAAATGGAGGTTCAACAACGTATTTTTACCTAGATTTTTGTTTCTCATCAAAATTGCATGCGGCTTAGTAAATTTCGCGTAGAATCATGCAATTTTATAAATTTTTTTCTTTAATGAATTTTAAATGTTAATAAGTTAAATTATTTATATTCTAAATAAAAAGATGTTGAAAAAATTTTGTTCTCATTTACTTCTATAATTATATTTTCTTTCAAAATGATGTGAAACAATATGCGGCTAAGCAAATTACGCTCACTGTATAATTTAATGCATAACGTTAATATAAACTGCATGTAAGTATATTTGCCTTACGGAATTCTGTATTGGAAAAATCGGGAATCCTATGAATAAAGAAAAAAAAAGTTAGGCTTTCTCAGTGAGTAATAAATAGTCATTTGTTTAACGTATTTTCTCATATACATCTGGGATAGATAAAAGTAAAATCCGAAATGTTTTTTGGGGTTAGAAAAAAATCCAGACGTGATGGGTCAAAACGGACTTCAGATTCGTGTTCAGCGATCCCAAAAACATATAACAGACTGGGTTTGGTCAAAGGAACCTTTCATCGATTTTTTTTGTGGACCTGTGTTATTAGCTGTCAAATTTGTTGTGCTGTTATTCTCACATCTGAAGGAAAAGTTAAGTTCCTTCTCTGTGCCACCGTGATCACTTTTTTTCTGCTATATTTATTAAGCAATTTAAATGTATTTTAACTTAATATTTGTTTAAAAATACCTTTACAAACCTCTTTTCCTTGCTAGCGTCCATTATTGTTTACTTTTTCATTTGATACTTCTCCTCTTCTTAGCAAAAATAATCGATAAAACTAGGTTTGCCACTGAAAAGTTATCGGTTTAATCTGAGATTATTTTATAATTACAGTTTAACGAGAGACGAATTTTGTATGGCTAATCTCTTTTTCTAATTACAGATTAGGGAGTTAAGCTCGAAAATGAGGATAATCTTCTTATATGTAAACCTAGTATAAAATGTAGCGCATTTAATTATTTTTATTTTAATATAAGAAAATTTATAATAGCCAATGTAAATTTATTTTCAGCTCTCTCGAAATATTCTCTTGGCTCCTTGAACTTGGCGATAGTGCAGCAGATATATTGGATGGTGGAAAAGTAGTTTGGTATGTTTCTTATGTGTATAAGTCCGAAAAATCGAAAAATTTGATTCCGAGCAGTACAGTTGGTGATGAATCTAAGAAAAGACTTTCAACAAAACTAGAAATCAACAAAGATGACATTCAAGCAGTATTACCAATGGCAAAGGTATTTAATGTGTCTTTTAATTAGTACCTATTCTTTAATACTTCAGTAGTTGAATATGAATACTGACATTAAAGATTAGCTACCATTATGGTGTCATTGATCTTACGATTTTACAAAAAAAAAACATAAAAAATCTCTCAGGTCACAGCCACTTACAATTAGTTGCAATTCTTCTTATCGTTTCTGTTATCATCTGTTATATTGATGTATATTACTCTAAAGCTTCATAAAGGTTTCTACTTAGGGCTATGGTAATGGCGGCCGCTGTGGTGTAGTGGTTAGCAGTGCGCGCTACCAAGAGCCTAGGTTCGAGCCCACTTTCCGACCAACGCACCTAAGGACAAAGTGACTAATTACGGCGACAAAAATAGAAAAACAAAATTCTTTAAAATACTGTCACACATACATTTATAATACTCTCTATAAACCAGTTCACAAAGTAACATACAAATTTTGACTTTTAACACAACGCAGCAGCTTTAGCAGAAGCCCAAACTTGGGTTTTCTATCATGCGTGGAATTAAATAAGTTTTTATTTGAAGCGGTGGTAAAAGAATTTCGCTTGTCAATTTATTCTTACTAGTGTTCGCCCAGCGGTTGAAATTCAACCGCTAAAATTAAGAATACTTTATGTGAGTTGAGTTGAGCTGAAATAACATTAGTTGGAATGGGTTAAGTGGAGGGGAGTTTAGATTAGTACTTAGCATAACATATCACTATCACTTTCTTCCTCTCTATCTTTGTCTCTATCGCTTTTAATGTTTATGTTTATGTTTTATGTTCATATTCATGTTCATGTTCATGTTCATGTTCATGTTCACGTTCATGTTCGTGTTCACGTTCATGTTCATTTTCATGTTAATGTTCATGTTCATGTTCATGTTCACGTTCATTTTCATGTTCATGTTCATGTTCAGTTTCATGTTCACGTTCATATTCATGTGCATGTTTATGTTCATGTTCATGTTCATGTTCATAATCAAGTTCATGTTCATGTTCATGTTCATGTTCATGTTCATTTTCATGTTCATGTTCAAGTTCATGTTCATGTTTATGTTTATTTTCATGTTCATGTTCATTTTCATGTTCATGTTCATGTTCATGTTCATGTTTATGTTCATGTTCATGTTCTTGTTTATGTTCATGTTTATGTGCATGTTCATGTTTATGTTAATGTTCATGTTCATGAACATGTTCATGTTTATAATCAAGTTCATGTTCATGTTCAAGTTTATGTTCATTTCCATGTTCATGTTCATGTTCAAGTTCATGTTCATGTTCATGTTCATTTTCATGTTCATGTTCATAATCATGTTCATGTTCATAATCGTGTTCACGTTCATGTTCATGTTCATGAACATATTCATATTCATGACCATATTCATATTCATGTTCATTTTCATGGTTATGTTCATGTTCACGTTCACGTTCATGTTCGTGTTCACGTTCATGTTCATGTTCATGTTAATGTTCATGTTCATGTTCAAGTTCATGTTCATGTTCATGTTCACGTTCATGTTCATGTTCATGTGTTTTTTTTTTTTTTTGTAGAGGTGGCACAAAGCATTGAAAGCCGAAAAGTGTGGGACTTGCCTTTCAGCTCACCGCACTAAAAACCCACCCCTGCTCCGTTTCCCTCCCACCGTGGAACTACCGTAAGGTATTACTTCGCGGAGGGGGAGCGGCCTATTGCCAATCTATGAAATTCTGCGGAGTTGTTCCGCTCGACGCAATTTAGATGAAATTGTGCTTGCCAAATTGCAAACAACGGACCAGTTATCTTCTGACTCAAGCATAGTATCCACAAGGTTATGAACCGTAAGTGGCCTCCCCACCTGCCTGCTCGAGTCATCCCTTTCGATTGCAAACCTCGGACAGACGAAAAAGCAGTGTTCAGCTTCTTCAATAATATCCGTGCTTCAATCGGTATAAATATGATTTAAAGCACCCATGCCCGGTCAGTATTTAGGTCAAATGGAAGTCCACTTCCCCATGTTCCCTACTTACTCACCTTGATATCGAGGGTATGAGGCGGTGCGTCCAACGACCGCTGGCTGCGCGGTCCCACCTCGTTTGCCATTGCTGCAAGCACCTGTGTCACCTCTTCGCGTCTCGTTCGGTTTATAGGCCTGGGGCCTGTCACTTCCACTGGAATGTCAATGGGGCAGAGTCCTGCCACCACTAGTGCTGCTTCTTCGGACGTAGTTCGGAATGCACTGCATACTTTGATAGCGCAAAATCTGTGCAAAGACCTTGCTTCTCGTACATATGACGTCTTGCTGAACGCTTCATACCAGATTTGTGCTCCATAGAGCAGCACACTGCGCACGACGCTTGCGTATAGCTGCCTACGCTTTTGTTTCGGGCCTCCTACGTTCAGCATAACCCTTGTTAGTGCTCCTGCCACCTTTTCGGCTTTCTCGACAGCATAATCAATGTGCGTCTTGAAGGTAAGCCTCGCATCAAACATTATGCCTAGGTATTTTAGGGCCGCCTTTGACGTAATTTCTTGTTGACCAACCTTTATAGTCGCCACTTCTCTGACTTTTCTACTGCTTACTAGAACTGTCTCGGTTTTTTGGTGCGCAAGTTCCAGTCCTGTTTCGGCCAGCCATGCTTGGATCTGGACGATTGAACTATTTGCTGCGATAATTATTTCTTCTAGATGCTTCGCTACCACCACTAGCGCTATGTCGTCAGCAAATCCGACAATTTTCACTCGTTCTGGCAAGGATAGTCGGAGTACACCATCGTACATGATATTCCAAAGTATTGGACCCAGAACTGAACCCTGTGGTACTCCAGCCGAGACTTTATGTTCTTTGACACCGTTATCCGTATTGTACAGTAGCACTCTATTTGCTCGGTAGTTGTCTACAATCTTGCGAAGGTATGCGGGTACCTCGAATCTGCGTAGAGCAGCATTTATGTGTTTCCAACTTGCTGTGTTGAACGCATTTTTTACATCGAGGGTGACAAGCAAGCAGTACATATTCCTCCCTTCCACCTTTCGCCACTTATTGCATCTTCCGCCAACTGCTTTACTAAACTGGCTGCATCTACTGTTGACCGCCCCTTTCTGAAGCCGAACTGTGTCTCTGAGAGGCCTCCCTTTTCCTCGATTGCTTCTAGCAGTCTATCGCTGATTATGCGTTCGAACAACTTGCCCGTCGTATCCAACATGCATATAGGACGATATGCTGAGGGATCTTCTGGTGGCTTCCCAGTTTTCGGCAATAGAACTAGCCGCTGGCGCTTCCATGCATCAGGAAATACTCCTTCTTTAAAGCATTCGTTAAAACTATCGACGAACACTTTAGGGTTCGCCGCTACAGCAAGCTTGAGGACACGATTTGGAATTGCATCCGGCCCCGGTGATTTTTTATCTTTAAATCGCTTGGCCGCAAGAAGTACTTCTTCCGTGCTCACCATGGGAAACTCGAACATCGTAGCAAGAAAGATTTCTCTCGCAAAACTTGGTTGCATTGGGAATAACGCCTTTATTATCGTCTCCAGCTTATTTGGGCATAATACCTGTGGTCGAACCGACGCCTTCAGCCTTTTCGTCACAACTTTATATGCTAAGCCCCAGGGGTCATTTTCGACGCTTTCACACAAGCTAGTAAAGCACTTTCGCTTGCTGAGCTTAATGGCTTGTTTAAGCTCCTTGCGTTTAGCTCTGTAAATAGCATGTTCGCATGTTTCTTCTCGCTCTGTTGCATTGCAGTCGCAATTTGCTCATTCCACCAATAAACTGGTGCACGTCGGCTGGTCGGGTATTTTTTCTTCATCGAAGCGTCGCACGCTTGAGTGATTTTGGCCATGAGGTAGTTCGTCATGTTACTAGCTCCGTAGGGTAACGAAATTCCAGGCATCATGGCTACTAGCGCCTCTTCGTCTAGAGAGTTGACCTTCCAACCTGTTGTTGCTCTTGCACTGACTTTTCTTCTCTCTCTCTCCTCCTGTATCGAGAAAATGATAGCCATGTGGTCGCTATGAGTGTACTCGTCGCTAACCTCCCAAGACGTGTGTCGAAACAGCCTGCTGCTGATAAATGTGAGGTCAATAATGGACCCCACCCCATCCTTGCTGAATGTAAATTTGGTACCCGAGTTGCATAATGCCACATCCAGAGACGATAATGCTGCAAGAAGAGCTCTTCCTCTGGCGTTAGTTCGTCGGCTTCCCCATTGCAAGGCCCAAGCATTGAAGTCGCCGGCTATTAATACGGATGATCTAGTCCGGGCATCAAAGGTAAGCTTATCCATGACGGCTTCGAATTCATCGAGGGTAAAACTAGGCGGTATGTAGCAGCTATATACAACTAATCCAGAGACTCGAACACATACAAAACCTACGTCTGCCTTGAGTTGTTCCATATGAAGGGGCGTTATGGCGCAGCTCCACACCGCTGCTCGACCGGCATCGTCCTGCGATCAATTAGCTCGCCATGGCGGCTGGCAGCAGCAGGGTTGCTGTCTTCGTACCGCTGTACGCGCTTCTTAACCCTCGTCCGTGCGACTAGGTACAATTGTAACTTTTGCGTTTTTAAATTACAATAACTTTTTTTCCAGAAAACTTAGAGGGCTGGATCTTCGTGACATCTCTACATTTTTGTTGCGCCACATGTTCCCTTAATTTGAAACAAAATGGGCCACTATTTTCCGAAATAGAGGGCCGAGTTAAATTTACACCCACGTCAGAGCGCATAGGTACAATTGTACCTTCATATATTTGGTATGAAGAAAAAAGCAGATTATTATTATTTTTAATTATATATAATATTTATATTTATAAAAAAAGGAACACAAATGGAGCTAATTCATATTAGTAGCGATAATAAACTATATAAAAAATTAACAAGCGAGACAATTCAATTTAGGAACAACGATTTAGAATATACATTTTGAAATTTTTAGAGAGTTTCTTCGCAAGAAATACATGTTGTTTTTGAAACTGAATGTTCATCACAAATTGGATAAGCACAAGATATGCAAAGT